ACATGTTTATCAGAGTGTCGAAAGCAACCTTTTACAAGACTCTAGGTGCAACATCTTCTTTTAGACAGATGAGAAAGGATTGTGCAAATTCACACAAATAGAACCGCACCTAAAGGAACATATAATCAGAACAATATAGAAAATGGATGTGGCTAATATTTTTCCAACTATTGAAAGTCTTCGAAGTGAACTGGTTCGAAAGGTGAATGGATTAAGTTTAAGTTCTCCATTCAACAATACAGGATAGTTTGAACCATGTTCTTCCAACCATCAATTAATAGAGTACCGGCATGTAATTAATGTTTTATTTATTTGTTCATTTATTAATTTATTACAATTTAATAGACTAGTTTAAACCAATTTGTGAGTCTTACCTTGTCTGCTTAAACATTTTATGCATTTCGAAAATCCACAGACATGTAATATTGGCATAATTACTGTAATTTATATCATCTATCTTTGTTTATCTTTATTAGACAACACCCTAGTATGGGTTTTATTATTTCAGCATTTATTTAACTTTGTATCGAGACCTGAAGATGCTTTGCATATTGTAGAATGCGAAACCGGTCGTCTGGATAATTAAATTAAATTGATTGTGAGTAAGTCTTATTTATTATTTCTTTTACCTAAAACCTGTTAAGTTGGATGAAGTCTAAAAAAATCGTTTGCAGGACTGTACATTAATTTTTCTTTAAAAATATGGCTCCAACTTTCAAATCTACGTAAATTGTTATGAAAAGCATCACAAAATCTTGACGAGACTTTAGTTAACGCCGAACATACAGTCGCCAAAGTTTGCAAGATACAACAATACCAAATGTACAACAAGCCTTTGTTGAAGGTTTATTGACAAGATTGAGAGCGCGGTAAGGAAAGGGCCAGCGTCTAACTGTCGCTCATGTTTGCAGCGATAATAGTTTTCTGCAAAATGGTGTTCTTGTTTTTTATATCAAAGAAAACTGGGCACTATGATGAAGACATAAACTTCAAGAATATGATGCGAAAAATGGTTCAAAAATATTCTCCAGTGTGCAGATAGTAGCTCTGTCATGGTATTCCTTAATGTGTCTTATCACAGCCGCCTTGTTAAACGCATTCCAACGATGACTGAAATAAAATCCATTATGCAGAGTTGGCCATAAGAAAAATGTATTTCATTTACAGAGGATATAGTCAAAGCAGAACTAATCACAATAATCAAGGAGCATCGTGGTAGATATCATCAATATGCTGTTGATTTAATGGCTAGACTTCATGATATTACTGTTTTAAAACTTCCACCTTACCATTACAAGTTGAATCCAATTAAATTAATTTAGGCTCAAATTAAGGGGTATGTTGCCCGAGAGAACGTACATTTAAAATTGGCGATGTTCAGCGCTTATTACAAACCAGTATAGATTGCATATATCCTACAAATTGAAAAAACGCTATTGGCCATGTATTGAAAATAGAAGAGAAAATGCGGAAGCTGGATGATATGATGGTAAATGCTATTAAACCTGTAATAGTACGGATCATCGCCAATGACTCAGAAAAAGAATTCTCAAGATTCTGGTGATTTTTAAACCAAGCTGTAAGTAAAAAGTTTAATGATTAATATAAATATTTTTGTTGTAATATATTTTTATTTGAGAGGGTTAATTTTAGTTAAGAGAGTTATTTGTGCTAAACATGCTAGGTATGATAAGGATAATTTTAAATCACAGAATAAAAAATTCATTTTTCTTTTTTCTTGTACGATTATCTATTTAACTATTTATTAATCCCTTAAAATTACATAAAAGGCTTATTTACGACTAGAATCAAATCGTAGGTCAGATAGCCAAGCGGCCCAGACTTCACTGTGAATGATCTAGTGAATTGAGTGTTTAAATCTTGATCAGAAAACAAAAAGGGTTACGTAACAGTATAAAGACTAAAATAGTCTGCTACTTGGCCTAAATTACGCTGGTGTATTGGATATACATATGGATAAACAGTACATCCCATCCAAGTGTTTACGCTTAAGAAATCAAAATACAAATAGTTATAAATAAAAACGTCTTTATTAACAATCGTTATATTTATTATTTGGCAATTAATTATTATCTAAACAAATTATATAAAAAAAAACGTTGTCTACTTATTTTCATTTTATAGAGTAAATGTCTTAAATTCAAATTTTAATGTAAGTCTTCTATGATACCTTTATGAAACGTGACTGATAAAGAATAAATAATTACGAATTCGCATATTGTGCTGACCAAATATTAATGTGCTAAAGCGTATCGTGAATACGTCTGTGGTTAAACCTGGCTTACTGAAAAAGACCGCATATTACCTATTAAAATGTGGGGAGCATCAAATGTTGTGAACCGATATTATTTTGATTTTCTTATTAGTAAACGGCGTATTTGATTTACACCTTGTACAATTTGAATATCGTATTAGGTACATTCATTGGTTACATTTTTTAATTTCTTGTCAGAGTATCACAGTATCTTGTCAGAGAGGCTATCGCTTAGTGTCGTGACTGTCGTGGAATATTAGTAATTAGTATAGCCTCGAGGAAGCGCAGTTGCCACACTTACCTTAATGTATATTACCTATGTCCAGTTGCAAGATTAACGTACTGTATAAGTTTTTCTGAGAAAAAATGGCCACAAGTAAGGATTAATAGCTGTTACAAATGGGAGGCATCAAATACCATCAAAGATACCTCCCATTAAAAAAAAAGAAAGAAGTAAAAGAGAACTAGCAAAGCCACTGTTTGACATGACTAGTATCAGTCGTCGATAGATATATAAAATTATATAGATATTATCACTTGTCAATTGTCATTGTCGTTGCGTGTTAACTCTAATTGACTTTATATTTGATATCTCGCGTTTTTAACAGCTGGAAACTCTAATTTGCGAACATTTTTTCTAAGGCAACCTTATACTACCATACTAAAAAAAATAGCTTTAATTATATAGGAAAATCATGCCTATACGTCATGAGCGGCGATTTGTTTTAAAAATAAATGAATTAATAATCTACCATTAATTGAATTAAATTAATTCCTCGAGATCATTGGAATATATGCTCCGTCGGAAAATGCATCAAAAGCAGCTAAACAAATATTCTACGAAACTTTATCGAAATCATTGAAATATAAATAGCCGCAAAGAAATTGTGCTGTTGGGAGATTTTAACGCTTGGACAGGAACAAAAATAAATGACAAAGTCGTAGGAAAATATGGTGACGCTAAAACAAATGAAAATGGGGAACACTTAATCGAATTCTGTGAACAGCACTCTCTGCAAATCCTAAACGGATTCTACCAACATAAAAGATACATAAGTACACCTGGGTTCAACCAACGAGAAACACAAAGTCAATTATAGATTATGTCATCACAAAACAAGAAACACACATAGAAGTTGAAGACATAAAAGTACTAAGAGGACCGGAGTGCGGAACTGACCACTATATAGTAAGATCAAAATGTTACCTACAGTATCGACCTCGGCTACTACATCAAAATGACAACCAACTAGCTCAATCAAAACCCCTGGAATCGAATCTACCTAAATACAATATTGATGCACTGCAAAACGACTCGACATCATTCTTATATAAGCTGCGACTTAGCCAACAATTGGCAAACCTGATCTACTCCTTAGCCCAGAATACCTATAAAGAGATAATCAATAAAATCAATGAAGCAGCTTACGAAGCGCTCGGCACAATTCAAAAGAACAAACAGAATACTCCATTGTGGTGGACAAATGACATCCCCAATGCAGTACACAACAAGAAACAAGCATATCAAAAGTGGCTGCAAAAAAATGATCCAGATGATAGACGAACATATGCAAGATCAAACAGAGAAGTAAAAAACTTAGTAACTAAAGCAAAAAATATTTCCTGGGAAAGTAAATGCGAAGAACTCGACAAATATATAGGGTCAACAAGATCAAGAGAAGCATGGAAAACGGTAAAAAATCTGAGAACAAACAGAAAAGAAACGAGTAGAATAGATTTAATAGAAAAAAAATCTTGGATCGAACACTACTCACAACTTTTGACTGAAACAAGACCTCAATTCACGAACATCAGTACAACAACATATGAACTGGGATTCAGTGAAGACGATGAAATAACAATACAGGAAGTCGAGAATGCAATACGAACTCTAAAAAATGTGAAGTTATGCGGACCACAAGGTATACCAAATGAATTATTAAAACATAGCCCACAAGTATTACGGGAATTACTGGCGTATGTCTTCACCTTAATCTATAATGGACACGACTTACCACCGGAGTGGACAAAAGCACATATTAACAACATATACAAAAAAGGAGATAGAAAGAATTGTTCCAACTATAGGGGGCTAAGTGTCATAAATTCACTCTCAAGACTGTATGGAAAAATAATAAAAAATAAAATTGAAGTCACATAATATGTGTGTAAGGTTCGAATTAAGGATCTGCATAAGACTAAAAACAGGATTTTAAGAGGGAATAAGCCGCAGAAAGAGATAAATATAAACGCTCAAAACCTTCCATTCACTACAATGAGTCCGTATGAATGTACAAAAAAAAATTGAAATGACGTATACACATAATTCTCACTTCTAACATATTGATGATAAACTGCAGTAAATTTATTAATCTTATTTTCTCATGTTTTTCTTCGTATTAATATATTTTTTAACTTTTTATGTCGAAAAGAACGTATAACAAACTACCGTGTTTCAATTCTATTAGTTAAACGAATTAAATTCAACATATTTAATTTCCGAGTAGGTACTAAGTTTATTAAATGTTAGAAGAAAAAAGTTATTATATAATTGTTCTTAACAACAATATACATTCCCCACAGGTTTAGAGCATATTATTTTCTATTTCGCTGTGATAACATTAATATAATCACGATAATTATAAAATAACAAATAAAAATATTTAACTCTATATTGTTAGTATCATTACAGCAAAACAACATCTAGTTACACATTAAGATTGACCTGATTTTCTAATTTGCTCATTGGTCACTTTGATTTTCGACAGTTTTTTCCTCCTCTTACCAGTGGAATTGCACTGTTTGACGTTGTCATCAGGTTTATCTTCAGGGTGAAAAACAACAGTCCATCTGTCTAAACGGATCTCTTCAGCATCGATGACATCTCTAAGTAGGTTAAGCGGATCTTCTCCACCAGTGTAACCTGGACCCCATCTCAAAACGCGAGCCAGATCATTACCTAATAGACATTTGGCATTAAAAGTATATCGTAAGTTAACTCATATTAAAAAAGTACAATTTGATATTATAATTTGCCAAAAATATGGGTAAATATATTAGAAAAGATTTTGTTAATTCTTTATGCTTTATACAACATATTTTTATTGCTTTACAGTAACAATATGTTTTAATATATTTAATTACAAAACACAATATAAAACAAACACGAAATACATTTCAGTGTGCCTGAACCACATAAAAAATACTTGAGACGACCAAGTATATTATTATATTATACAGATTAACATATAGACGAGAAATATAGTATGTTTCAACTCGTTTTATCGTTACTATATTATTATATCCATCCTATATCCATCTTGACTTCTATTCTTTACATAGTTAACATACGCCATTTTCCTAATTATCAAGACCCATCTTGAAAAATGCTTGTTTTCATTGTATTTATTGTAGGTAGAAACACAACTGTATTCGATCATACACAGCGCCAAATCAAAACAAGTAAAGAATGATACTATGAATGGAGAATCAATAACGCAAAAACGCAGACCATAATTTTCAGAACCCCACGCTAGGATCCCAGACAAACTTCACTTAAAGCTCCAAGCTCCTTGGGAAGTGAGCGAACCTTTAATAAACGGTAACCTATATAGAAATCCAATTTAACAAAGATTCTCCACTCGGATGCTGACATTAAAAACATCTTAGACAGAGCCAAAAGATGAGTAAGATGTCAGGACCTTAAGCAGAAAATTTGTTGCAATAGACAAAAAATCTCTTCTTCACTCCTACGAAGCTTTTATATAGAGAACGGTGCTCTACGTATATGTTACTTAAATATAGAAACGAACCTGGTACTGGCCACAGGGAGAAGGATTATTGATATATAACATCCCTCCAAAGGACGGGGACAAATTGCGTTTGCTAAAACTGAAGCCCAACAACTATAAAAAAATGTTTCAGTAAATATGAATATTTCAAGTAGTCAATTCCGAACAATACACATCAGCTCCTAAGACGCAATTTTTAAGAAATATTAATAAGGAAATCAGGACACGTGAAACTCAGTTTTCAGCAAGCATTTAAACTACGATTTGTTGTTGAACAGTAATGTACAGTGAACCACAAGAGAATGTGATAAATTCTTAAATGGATAAAGGTTCTGTTGAAAATTTGTCCAATTTTAAGTATTAGTTTTCGTCATAGTATGTGCTTAAGTGTTAAAAAATTAGATTTTCCTTTTACTAAAACATTTAAACAAAATGATTTTTTATTTTCTAATTTTTCCATGAAAATTTTTAAATATTCTATCTTCTATTAGTCTCGTCGGTGTGTTCGTAGAATCAGTAGTATGAATGAAAATATGTTGCGATAAGGCAACTAAAAATATTCTTTTTAAATTCACTAAGGACCTAAACATTGTTTTTTTAATCTTTAATAAAATGTTAATGACAGGAGGAGCGCTCGGGATGCGGCGATATAAGAGATATAAACAAGATCTATGGCATACATTTTTGCCAGTTTAAATTCTCATTGTACAGTTCATTAGGTTCATTTGTGTTTAGGTTTTTTCGATTTGTATAAAAAAAAGTTCTGTCAAAAGTTTTTTCTAAAGTTGTCTGTTTTCGAGTTATGAATAATTGAAAACTGAAAAAGAACACACACAAAATTAAGATTTTCAAGGCTTAAAATCACAAGTAAAAAATATTATTTTTAAAATTATCAAGTGCTTAAATTCAAATTCAAGCCTTCTTCTATCAGCTTGTGATAAAAAGGCTGGGTTTATTTTATGCGTGGAAGGTTGGGCGCTCATTTGTACAATGACAATTCAAATATTAAAACCATTGAGGGACCTAAACATTGTTTTTTTAATCTTTAATAAAACGTTAATGACAGGAGGAGCGCTCGGGATGCTGCGATATAAGAGATATAAACAAGATCTATGGCATATATTTTTGCCAGTTTAAATTCTCATTGTACAGTTCATTAGGTTCATTTGTGTTTAGGATTTTTAGATCTTTATAAAAAAAAGTTCTGTCAAAAGTTTTTTCTAAAGTTGTCTGTTTTCGAGTTATGAATAATTGAAAACTGAAAAAGAACACACACAAAATTAAGATTTTCAAGGTTTAAAATCACAAGTAAAAAATATTATTTTTAAAATTATCAACTGCTTAAATTCAAATTCAAGCCTTCTTCTATCAGCTTGTGATAAAAAGGCTGGGTTTATTTTATGCGTGGAAGGTTGGGCGCTCATTTGTAAGTCCAAAATACTTACCGAGAAATGATAGAACAAGGTTTGAACGTGAATGTACGTCCTTGATAAATTCAAAAATAATATCTTTTAGTTGTGTTTTTGGGCCTTGAAAATCATAATTTTACGTTTTTGTCAGTTTTAAATTGTTTATAAACTCGAAAATGATCAAGTTTACAGAAAAAATTAAAATAGACGTATTTTGTTCAGAATGGTCCAAAAAAAAATATAAAAAATTGTACCGAAAAAATTTATTGTTACAATTTGTTTAAAAACAAATTAATTGTAAAAATTTGACCAACTTTTCGTCTGAGCGACCTCTTGAAGCTTAGGGTGACTATCTTAAGAAAGTTTTGATTCAATAAACAGAGCGAAATTACTCACAGCTATGAAAGAAATGGAATACCCAACAAATTAAGACGATTAATAAAAATGACAATGAGCAAAACCGTAGTAACTGTAAAAACACAAGAAGGAGACACGGAAGAATTTGTTATAAATAAAGGTGTACGTCAAGGAGATTCATTATCTGCAACTCTCTTTAGTCTTGCCCTGGAATATATAGTCAGAAAAATCAACAAAGGTACACTTAGAACGAGAGAGGGACAAATAATAGCATATGCCGACGATATTGTGATAATAACAAAGAACAGAAAAAAATGGAAAGTATCTTAAAATAATTGGTAGCAGAAGGGAAAGTAATGGGCTTAGTAATAAATCAAGAAAAAACAAAAATAATGAGATTTGACAAAAAATATAAAAACAAAAAGATTAGACTGGAAGAATATATATTTGAAGAAGTAGAAAAATTTAAGTATTTGAGAATATTATAAACAAACAATGGAGAAAGGGAAACAGAAATTAAAGAAGGGATAATTACAGCAAATAAGACGTACTATGCAAATAAAAAACTTCTAAAAAATAAATTACTGAGCAAGAAATCGAAAATGAAGATATATAAAACAAAAATTCGACCGACTATGATGTATGCTGCAGAAACCCTTAGCATGACAAAAAAAAAACAAGAGGAAGACCTTAGTGAGAGCGCCCACCAAAGTGGCGTGGCACGTAGCAAGTGGCAAGTAGCACGCGTCTAGCATGTTTCTTAAAATGTAACCAATGAAAACGAATGGTTCAGCGCACACCAAAATGATAGTGACGTCATTCATTCTAATCATTCGTTTTCATTGGTTACATTTTAAGAAACATGCTAGACGCGTGCTACTTGCTACGTGCTACTTGCCACGCCACTTTGGTGGGCGCTCGCCCTTAGAATACTAGAAAATAAAAATACTAAGAGCAATATTAGGACCAATAAAAATTAATGAAAACCAATATAGACAAAGAACGAATCATGAACTACTAAACGAAATTAAAGCGGATATAGTTTGTAAAATAAAACAGCAAAGGGCAAAATGGCTAGGACATTTATATGAAGATCAGGACAATCTACGACAGAATTTTCAATATTGGAATGGACACCAGCTGGTAAAAGAAGACGTGGAAGACCAAGATCTACATGGCTACAAGAAGTAACAAATGATCTCAACAGGGCGGGCGTACGACAATGGAGAGAAAAAACCAGAGATAGGAAACAGTGGAGAAAAATAACAGAAAAAATTAAATAAAGAAAATGAGGACTGATCTACCTCCTAACATAGATCTAGAGAGCTTAAGCGGCGTAACCCCGTGTGGGGTGTTTAGCCACTATATATATATATATATATATATATATATATATATATATATATATATATATATATATATATATATATATATCTTAAAAAGAAAGTGAATAATATGCAAAAAAAATTCATGGGATTATTTTTCCGAACGAACTCGAGCTTTTCAACTTGGCTAAAAAATATGTTGAAACTCCCTAGTATATTTTAGCGTCGTCATTTTATAATATCGTACGAAGAAGAGTCAATTGCAATGACAACCAGTTTTAAAAAAGCATTTTCCTTGTTAATTTTGCGAAAGACATATAAGTCTACAGCTGTTTTGGTAATGCTTTTTTCTTTCATATATTTTTCTGTTCGTTGTTCAATAGAATGAACCTGGACAAGTTGATTAGTTTTCTCCGAATAGTTCAAGTGTGGTCGTTTTTATAGTCTTTAATAAGATCTGCCATAGTTGTAGAAGAAACTTCAGGAAGAAAAAAATTCAATCCACTTCCTATAACCCTAAAAACAATGTACCTACCATCACAAATTACCGACCACAAAAATCTTCACATTTTGATAATATTATTTTATTAATTATAATTTTATAACTTGATTTGTTAATACAATCAATTCAAAATTAACTTCAAATTCATACCTTTATTTGAAATTAAAACAGACGTAGAAATCATAACGTTTTATTGTTAACGTTAAAAATAAAAATATTATTAAATTTTAAAGCTGATGTACTATTAAAAATAAATATAAATTAAATTTTAATTTAAATTATTTTGTAGTAAATAATTACAAAATACATAAATTTTACTTCAAGTATTTTTTATTTCTTTTATACATTTCTTTACCTACTATTTTTTGTATAATATGAAATCTTTTTAAATAGGTATTTTTCAGTATTTTATATTTACACATATTTTTGTACCGGAATTACAATGCTTATTTTTTTAATTAAAAGTTTCGAAAATATAATTAAAAATAGTTATTAACTTTTACCTGTTCCCAGTGGTACAATAGCACAAGCAGGGGAAGAACATTGAGAATCCTGCCCAACATTATCCAGGCATTGAAGTACCCATCCAATTGTACCATCTCCACCACAAACGAGTATTTTGTAGTTTTGAATATTTCTGAACACATACAATCCTGGAAGAGGACCTCCATTGTCAAGATCGAACACTTGGTATGGATTCAATAATTTTCTAAAACTAGAGATTAACTCTAGTCCTTGACAACCACCAGACTTTACATTGACGAAAACTAATAACGGTTGCACACCTTGGGGTATCATTGAAGGTTCTATGTTTGGTAGCAGCATAACTGAAATATTTAAATTAACTTTGCAATATGAATGTTTAACGATTTTTCCGTGTAATAAAAATAATTAGAAATTTCGAAAGAAGATAGTCAAAATCAAGTTCTCCTCTACCTGTATCTATATCGCCGACAAAATTACTTAGCTTACCGGAAACCCATTACAGATTTACCGATACAAGTACATACCATTATAATTTATATATAATATTTATATACAAAAATATAAAAAATCCAAGATTCAAATAGAAATTAGTAAAACTAAAAGATCCATTATTCAACAATTAACGATGAATTGGTTTGTATGATTCCACATAAAAAGCTAAATGAAATTTAAAAAAGTTTCACACAATAATGATTCCCAATAACAAGTACTTCGCTAGAAAACGAAAGATTGAATTACCACGTGCTGAAGACTGAATAACCACACAACACGTGGTTGAACGAACGGTTCCCTAGGGGTTTTTTTATATTTAGTTTTACAAGCGCATGCAGGGCTAAGCGTTCATGGGCCTTCATTTCCCTAGATTCTTTTGGGAATATCCTTAAATAAACAAAAAATATACAAAAATTCTCAACAAATTCTCAGTCAAGAAGGACACAGAATAAGGCGTGGATACAGCGGAGCAAGCTGCAAATTATACCTAAATCAAAGAATGGTGTGAGAATAAGCCAGGAAAATAGCAATGGCTGAACGAAAAATATGAGTGAGCCAAAGACAAAGAAAAAGGAAGTAAACAATTACCAACACGTCATATAAAAAAGTAAATCGAAAACGAGAATGACCACTGCCTTCACCTCTAACTCTGGTTGTTATACAGCTGTAGCAAAGCCGCAGCTGTAGCTGCATCTTCTATGAATAAAAACGTAAAATCCAGTTCGCAAAAATGTACTTCCCACTAGCACTAATCCTGATAAGTGATTGGTTAAGGCATTTTCATGGGAATATATTTATATAAATAAAATGTATGTACAGGGTGAAGTAAAATTCCTTTATTTTATAACAAAATAATGAAACTTTGAGGAAACAATCGGGTTTTAACACGTTACATCTCAAACAATTAGGAGCTAGTTTGTACATATATTTGTCACCTCTCAGGGGCACACTCTTAAACAAATGTACGCATGTACACGTACAGTTATCCAAAATAGAAAGTATGAAAATCTCTAGTTGGGGATGCTTCAATTAGGCACAGTAAATAGCACTGACGAGCATTCTAGATAAGTTCAGAGCTTTACAAGTCGAATTCAACCAGCATTAATATGGAAATATGGAAAGTGTGGGAAAGGTAGGCTTACAGAAGAATGCTGAGCATAAGCGAGGTAGACAGAGTTACAAACGACGTAGCAAAGAATTAAAAAACACAATAATTCCTAAAGACGTAGAAAAGAATTAAAAACACAATAATTCCTAAATACTATCAAAATTAGAAAGTTGCAATATTTGGGTCAGGTTATGAAAGGTAAGCGCTACGAACTACTGCAAGTGATGATGCAAAGGAAAATACAAGGACAACGACAAAGAAGCGAGGTAGGCTTAACAAATTAAGAACGTGGTTTAACTGCAGTTCTACAAACTGTTCAGATCAGCAGCATCGAAAGTTCGAATTCATATCATGATTGCCAACCTTCTGAGAGTAACGAAAACAAACAACTTTAGTTCAGCAAAGAGCTGCAAAAAGTTGCAGATCGTAATATGATTAATATAAAGTACAAAATTATAGAATGGCTAAGACATCGTAACATGATTTTAACAATTGATTTGTATAGCCTCGTTAAAGTTCATAAACCATGAAGGTACGGTTCATAAAAGTTCATAAAAAAAGTACGAAATTTATGGAATAATAGTGCTTAAACAATAGTACGTTTTATAATATACACGAGGAAAGAAACAAGGTGAACATGCTTTGGACAATTGTCCATAAAAGAGAAAGCACTAGAATTAGTGACAAACCAAATAATAATTAATCTACAGGAACATAATGAAGATGATCTAGTGGAAATAGTTCAGAATATCAAGGTGATTTTCCAGAAATTAAGCTCATTTTAGTAAGTTTAAGAAGACGTTTTATTACATATTTTTTAGCTTTTGGACCTAAATTTATACTTCAACTAAACCAGTAATGGCTAAGGTATGTTAAACCTCATACTTGTTCCTATAAGTTATACGTGCATATCAGTGTCTGTCTCACATATACCTAATTCTTTATTGTAAGCCCGTCGTTTATTATCCAACAAATCGACATCCAGTAAATAACTGTTTTGCAATGTAATTTTCCTCATCACGACGGATTTTCTTGAAAATTTAGATATAGGTTCCTCTTACACCTTACTTCACTTTTAAAGTTGAGCCCAGAGTTGTTTTACTTGGGGGGAGAAAGCCAATCCTTCTCGACCGTGAATAAACGTCCGCTCAAAGTAAGTCCGGAAATGGATAAATTAACTAGTTCTAAGCAACTGTTGTTGTATAGAGTTAGGAAGTATAGCTTTCTTATCGCAGGCTACAGACGGAGCGGTGGATCACACAGAGGTGTGAAAACTGTATCAACTGTGTGAGACTATAGAGACAGTTGCTATTGTAAGGACTATAGCGATTGTAACTAAATATCGCGCGACCACACACTACTTGGAGTTAAACGCAGTCCCATACGTGTTTATTAATACATTAAAGTAAACTAAAACCACCGCTGCATGCTTAGACGATAAGAAAGCTATGCTTAACCTCCTCGGTCACTTCCAGAGTGGCATATCCCGTTCTTTCACCAAGTCAATACTTTCTAAGTTATTTGTGAGCAAAAAAACACGTTTTCAGACAGGTTTTCACAATTAATTAAAAAAGTAGCTCACTAAAAAAATTTTAAAAATGTATTTATAAAGTCCGTAAACCTAGTGGAAGCAGAGTTATAGATTATGAAAAGTAGGTTCTTATTGATCAAATTCCAAATCAAATATTTCAACTAAAATAACCATAAAATTAAGCACTTTTCGGGAAAAAGAGTTCAAAACTTGTTTGAAGTGTTTTAAAAAAGCTTTATTTTTGATTTTTTTTTAGTTTCTCTCATAAATAAAAAGCAAATTACGCTTAAAATAAAGTTTGTCTCCTTTTTATGTTAAAATAAAAAAAAATACTCCCTAATTAGCACACCCAATGAAATTAATCGTTACCTTTACAATTCGTTGGCTTGTGACACAAAAATGTAACTACATTTTTTCTCGTTTTGAGATATCTACACCACTGAACTTACCTTAGTGAGTTCTATTGGTGACACAAAATTATATCTCTCCGAGCACAAAACCCCAATTAGGAGTTTTCTTAACTACATTTTTTAGCAATCCTTTAGTATCACAGAAATGTAAATGCTGTTACATTTCTGTGATACTATGTTTTCGTACTATAAATAAGCTGATATTGAGTTACCTTTTTGTGGCATAAATTTTATTGCACTGAATGGTCGTTGCAGTTAGTAACTGTGGATTTGGTAATTTGTTTATTATGTTTAGTAGGGTGGCCTGTTGTATTTGCAGTTTTCTTATAGCTGTGAAACACGTGAATCAGTTTATAATTTGTTTATTATATTAATCAGGGTGGTCCGTTGCCTTTCCAGTTCTGTTACAACTGTGAAGACGTAAACACGTGAATCAGTTTTAAGTTAATTATTGTAGAGATTGTTATAATAATCGCTATAATACTGTTTTATAATTTATAGTCCATTTCCATCATATTGATAGCACATTATGTATGCAAATCCCTAAACTGTTGATACGGGTGACTCAATGAAAAATAGGTATTTGTCAACAAGTTTACAGAAGTATATAGGAAAACAATTTTAAATTGAGTATGACCACCAGGTATAAAGGTTGAAGCAGAATAGAATACAATAGTTTTGAGGGTTACTTATTCCTAAATAAAGTTGCCAGTGTCGGAGTGATGGAGATTAACAGGTAGGTACTAATGAATTTGCAAGAAATGTAAGATGTTTATTTTATTGGTTATATAAAATAATTTGTGGTCGCAACAGAGGCCGATTTGTAAAAAAATGAATATTATTTTAATCAAATTTCATTTGAGATTCACTGCTTTCTTCAGAATATAAGGAATCTTTAACTCCAATGTTAATTATTACCGGTTCCAGCATTGCATCAGTCATATTATCCAAATTCCACATTTTATTTTCTTCCTTGTGAGCATGACTGACAGCATTTTTCCAATTTTCTGGAGTTACTTTTGATAAGGAATGTTCCAATAATTGTTGTAAGTCTTCTAATTTAAAAGTTTTGCTGTTGCGCCCGACTTCACCCTTTACTTGAGACCATATATTTTCTATCGGATTCAGATCACAGTGGTATGGGGGTAAACGTAAAATAATTACATCACGGTTTAATGCCATTTCATCAATTATATATTTTTTATAAGCTGCTTTATATTGCCTTACAATAGGTAATAATTCCTTTTTTGTCGAATTCTCCTTGTACTCAATTGCGTGTTTATTCAACCATTCGATCATCTCTCCTTTTTTCCATGCCGTTGTTGGCAATTTTTTCTGCTAGTCTTGAATGGTAACTAGCATATAGTCTATCTAATAGACTATGACAGAATTTTTTGGAATTAAATCCAACATTTGCTCAAAATATTCTTCAAAAACGTCAGCAGTCATTTCCTCGTGGTAATCATTGGTTGATTTTGAGCCAAAACTTAATAATCCACCATTGACAAAACCGTATTCGTTTCCAATATGGGTTATTCTAAGTCTGCGTCATTTTCCAAGGGGAATATTGTTTATTCCAGTAGATACACCTTCGATGAATGCCTGACGGGAACTTTTCACATTGTTTTCCCTTCTTCTCGGTACTTTTTAATAGTTCTTAGATAATCTCATCTAAGGTGGAAATCCCATCTCTCTCAATAGTCTCCAAAATTTCTTGTTGGTTATGATTGGTAACTCTTCGTTTTCTCTAATTATTGTTTGGATTTTGTCCAATGTTGGAAATTCTTTGTTAAAAAAAATGAGTGGACGCTGCGTCTTATCATGTTTTTATGTATTTCTTCAATTTCCAAAGGTTTACTCCCTCCACTCTTCTTGGGAGATGAAACAGTTCCTCCTTTTCTTTCTTTTAGGAATCTATAAATTGTTGCTTCTCCAACCCCTGTCATATTTGAACACATGTTAACGATTTCACGAACATTACTTGAAGGGCGTTGATGTACAAGTGCATCGTGTACATTTAATATTATATTTTTCTCTCTTAGACTGAAGGCACCTTTAAAACTACACTTAACCGGGATAAAACCTGTTGTCGACGTCATTTTTAAATGCAAATAACAAAATATCGACACCAAAAACGTAGGTAGGTAAGACATGAACAATGTACATCTACAAACTAAATGGAAGATGCAAACAATTTCTAATTTATATTATTGGCATAAGCTGTAATGTGGCATAAAAACTACCTAAACTATCATTAGTGAAGCGTTATCAGTAATTCCAGGTAATCGTTCAAAGAAGGTATTCTTTTTGTGTCACGCGATAACTTATATAGAAAACAATAATCACCTTTAAATTACTATTTACATTAATTTATTTCGTGAAACATGGAATTCTCTCGTTAATCACCCGTGTATAATTAACAATAATCGTGTGGCATATATACCGACGTTTTTTACGCACAAAAAAGGTATAGCGAGATTAGTGGACACTTATTTTACAGAAGATTTTTTAAAAGACAATGAATTGTTGACGGCATCTTAAAATATTAATATTTTTTATTTATTTCAAAACAAGTATAGGGTGACGCCTATGGTTTTTTGACCTGTTGAGGATTTGCATACATAATGTGCTATCAATATGATGGAAAAGAACTATACACAATATTATTATTATTATTATTACACAATAATGGATTCAAGAGGGAAGAAGTTAGTTTCGTTAGCTCTTAACAAATCGGTACGAGATGATGAAACGCATAGTCATAATTTAGCGCTTTCATCACAACAAGTGACATATTCAGATAGTGCCTCTCATTCATCATACATCAAATTAGTTAACCTAATTTATCAGGGTATGAACAATGTGAGGATATATTTGTTGATGTCGATTCTGATGAAACACATTCTAAATTTACCGTTCTTATCACAAGTGATACATTCAAATAGTGCCTCGCATATTCTACCAGTGAACATAATGGATCAGGATATGAACACGAGTTGTGTAATAAAGGCATCATTCCTTCCCAGTATCATCTCTTCTTTAAGTCGTTGCTCACCAACAACATGGACAATCAATCAGATGTGCAAAGTGATTAACATAATTAAAATTATTGTTTGAAAATGTTTTTAAAGTTTATGTTTAATTAAAAAAAATTATTTTATGATTTAAATAATGGTATAAACGTCTCGATGGGAATAACCACAATCTATTTATTAAAAAAAAACTTTATTGACGTTTCTACTTCTAATTCAGAAATCGTTATCCAAACATTTTATAAAGTTTCTTTTTTTAATAAATAATATTGTGGTTATTTCCATCGAGACTTTTAAATAATATTTAATGCCACAAGAAAATATCGCCAGAACAATAAAAAAATATAAGATGAATTACGATTATTAGTTTTATTTTATTATTAGTAAATTGCTATATATTATAATATTGATTATAATGCTATAGCAACAAATTACAAGTAGGTACCATTTCATTTTAGAAAAGCTTAGTCTTAATCCTATTAAAAATCATTTGTATTTAAATGGCGTTGTTAAGTTTTCGGACCAGGTAGAGATTAATAAATTTTAATCTATTGTACTTTTAATTATTATACCTGCCACTCAGTATGTTCATCTCTCGAAATTTATCGATATCACTCCAATACAAATGGCTGTAATAGGATTAAGATTAAGCTTTTAAGTAAGTCTCAATAGACTTTTCAGGTAGGGACACAAAAATGTTACTTTATCTAATTATTGATATTTTGAGAACACAATTTATCCATTGTTGCGTATGATTGTATTACGGCAATGAAAACATTTCTAAGATTAATAATTCGTAACAAAAAAGTTGAGAATAAAATACAGGTCATTATAAAATTCAAATCATCTGTTTAAAAACCTTAAATATGCTCTCCTGAAAAGTATTCATTTTTGAGATACATTTTTGTGTCACTAAACCGACGAATTTACTTTTTTTGTTTATGTGATCTGTAACTTTGACCGGTTGAAAGTAATTATTTTTGAATGCTAAGCCTACAAAATGGTTTTTAGTAAATCAGTAAAGTTAAAAGTGAAGCTAAAGGTACAGGTAAAGGTAAAAAATTTAAACAGTAAAGAAATCTGAATTTAAGGTCACTGTATAATTAAATAATTTCAAATTCCTTGAAATTATACATATTTTTCTAATTGGGGTAGTTTTCACCCCTAAAAAATAAAAAGCAACTAACGGCCAAAAGTAAAATGGAGGGTAAGTCGAACCTACATCCAAATGCAATTCAGTGGTGTCAAGCAAAATTACACGATATCGCCGTATCTCACGTTCATTTACTGGCCTATTTACAGGTTATTTCTAAAATGACATTCATACATTAACACATTGTTTATATTAAAATAGGTACTCACCTAACAACGGTTGCTTATCTTCATATTTAGACTCCCTTAAAGCATATAACGCTCTCACAGCCTTATCTGAATCTTCATAGGTAATTACCATAGAGCCGTATTCGTAATAGATAGGACCAATTTTAGAAAATTTGTTTTCTAAAACGTAAAGACTCATATTTTAATTTTAGTCAATAAAATGGCGAGACTAATAAAATGTTTAAGACGCTATGGTATTTGAAAAATATAGACTGAACAATTTTCCTAGCAATTTAAATGAATACCAATTATCTTAATTAAATATTTAATGCCCTTAGTGACGATTTTTTTCATTTTGCTTCTTAACAAATTTCGTTCTTTAGATTTTTCTTTTATCAATTTTAAAATTTTTTGGCTTGATTATTTATTAATATGTTGCGTTTATTATTCCTGCAAGAGTATTGATATTCCTCTGAAAAATTTCATGACTTCTGCATATATCCACAATTGTTTTTGTTTATATTTAGAGGATGTTAAATCTTGGATTTTGAGGTGATTCAATGAATCAGTACGATTTCAAGCAAATAAAAAAACTGAAAAAATATCTGTTTATTACATTAAAAAAAAAATTATACTACACAGATGGAAATTATTGTGTAAGTGAAGAAATATTCAGTTTTTGAAGATGATATTAGAAAGGTGGCCTCCATTTTGTCAAACACGATTTTGCACTCGTGGTTCAAAGTACGACATTGAGTAACATTTCTTGAGGTATTGCTTCCATTTTTTCGCGTATCCGTTCTTTTAAGGCCCCGATAGTTCTTAGGAGGTTACTTCGAAACACTTTGACTTTGGAAAGACCGGGGAACGATCTTCTTAGTAAATCCATTGACTTTCGTGATGTGTGACATATTGCACCATCCTGTTGAAAGGTCGTGTGTTCATCTCTGTAATTCTTAATTTCCGGAATATTTAACATTTGCACGTAGCGATCAGAGCTAAGTGTTACTGCGTGTCCATCCTCGCCCTTAAAATATGGTACGATAATCCCTAACGAAGAAATTGTACACCACAAGGATACTTTTTCAAAATATAGGGGATCTTCCGTGTAATTGTCGCGGATTATTTTTAAACGAATAGCGGAAATTTTGTTTCTTTACATACCCACTTAGATAAAAGTAGGCTTGATCACTCATCCAAAGATTATGCAGTAAATTGTCGTTTTATAAATAGATGATACTGGAGATCTTTATTGCAAAATTCTGCTCGTAGTGATGTAGACTAATCCCAGCTTTAAACCTCATCGTCGCAGGGATCTTCGGGGGCTCACGTTTAATGAGTTTCACACCGCTTCAATATTCTGTGAGGTACAAGCAATTCTGACACTGTCACCTTTTTTTGTGATGTTGAATCACTACTTTAAAAGTTCATAACCCAGGTCTGAATAGTCTTGTTAGACGAAACTCTTTGTAAATGCACAAAAGTTTAACCATTTTTTAATATGCTTTCACAGAAAATGCGTGTAGTTTACCCGACCACTTCTCCATGATAACTAAACTTCCCACTTTCTAAAGTCACAACGTTTATGTCGCAAACCCAAGGCTCCTCTATTTTTTCGCCAGCAGCGTTACCAAATCGTGTCGTTTCATTGAATCACCTGTTAGATATAAAACAACTTATAACAACTCACAATTAAAAAATAAATTAAATACTATATTTAAAAATATGCCTTTCTAGATTTATTTTTAATAAGTTTTATTAACAGATTCCCGGATCAACTGAAATAAGTAACCGGAATAACTCATTCATTGGGTTTCCTTCATAAAATATATTTATTTCTAAGTGCTATGTGACTTTTTGGCTATAAACTTTTTACAGTTAGCCATATCAATCTTACGTTGTTATTCATTGTTATTCAAACATTGCTGTAATAAAATAATTCTACTTAAATAATTTTTCTTAACATATGTGTAGGGGAGAGTTAAACAAAACCGGGTACTGACCAGTCCAAAAACTGATTATATCTTGTACTATGTGAGAGTAGCAAACGTTTGCTGGAGATTAAAATATTCTTAAATGACTTAAGTTATATCATACATCATACAAGGATGACAATCTCAGGTCTTTCGGTCCTTTCCGAGAACTTTTTTATAGCAGACAGAGAGAGTATTAATCTTCATATATATATATATATATATATATATATATATATATATATATATATATATGAAGATTACTCTCTCTTTCTGCTATAAAAAAGTTCTCGGAAAGGACCGAAAGACCTGAGATTGTCATCCTTTTAGCCGACAAAGGTAATGCCACCGTCATTCTTAACTCTTCTAATTATTTCGACAAAACGTTCGAACTTCTTAATTCCACAGAATACAAACGCGTCCCAAACGATCCCACTACTTATCTAGAAAAAACGGAACCAAAACCATCATAAATAAGTCTACTCTACATTCAGACATCAAAAAATCTCTTATACCCAGACAAAAGTCATCCCCAATTCCAAAGATATACGGCCTTCCAAAAATCCACAAACCCAATGTTTCCCCAAGACCCATCGTCAGTGCATACAACTGTCCCTCTCAGAAATTGGCAAAACATCTGACTTTATCCTTACAACCATTAGCCGAAAAAGCTTCGTCCTGTGTCAAAAACTCTTCTTATTTTAATTGATGGATTCGACCGTTACTTGATGGAAATTCATTTTATGTAACAATAAAACACTGAAAACTTTGTTTTCAAACTTCCACAGAATTTATTTTAACTATTACCACTACAGCTGTTTCGGCTGATAGCCTTTCTCAAGTGATCTATTTTTGGCTTGGGTTTACAAATTTATAGTCTCTAATGAAATAGGTTGAGGAGGGGAGAACTGTTTGTCTCAAGTTGGTCATTCAGAATTATATCTGTGTTTTTTAATTTGTTGATTTCCATAGATTCTAACAAAGATAGCTTAAGGCCTTTATTTTGAATGTGAAGAATTTTAAATTTGTCATTAAAAGAATGATTATGATCTAGAAGGTGAAGTGCGTATGTCGAATCTATTTTTCTATTCTTGAAAGCCCTTTTATGTTCTGCTATTCGTTTCTCAAAGTTTCTACCAGTTTGACCGATGTAAGTTTTTGGGCAGTCGCCACATTGAATTTTATACACACCACTATTTAAGTGTTTTTTATTTTGGCTCTTGTTATTTTTAATATATTTACCTAGGTTGTTATTTGTTCGGAAAGCTGGTGTTATTCCTTTCTTTTTTATGTGTTTAGCAATTTTTGTTGTTATTTTGCCTGTATATGTAATCGAGCAGAAGGTACTGGGTTTTTTCTCTGGTGGTGGAAATACTAATGTCAGGGCTTTCCTGTGTAGTTTTTGAACATTTTATTAATTGTTTGTTCGTTGTATCCGTTGTTTACTGCTATTTGCTTAATTATATTTAATTCTGTCTCAAAGTTGTCTTTTGACACGACTATACACAATTCATCATCCCATCCAACACAACATAAACTGGCAGCTTATCATAGTATGTTACATAGATTAACAGAAATTCCGATGTCAGTTCCTAAAGTTCCTAAAGTTCCTTTTTTTTTTGCTGGAGATGAGGAAGAATGTAGCGTTTACGCTACTGATTAACCCCTTAAGAAATTTCTTATTACCCGCCTACGATCGATTTTAAATGGACATTTTTCCCCACACGCGTAGTAGTCGTTTAAAAAGTAAGATTGGTCGAGTTTGTACGAGAACGATCAGTTTTGGTCAGAACTCAGCGCAGACACGCCAACCGGTGAAATTTTTTCACCTTCAAAGTGACGGAATTGGAGCAATAAAATAATCTGGGACGAATAAAATAATACCTAATTTAATAATCATATTATAAAAATAATAATAAGTAAATTTTAAAAATCAAGTTTCATTTATAAGAGTTCCACAGAAAAAGGAAGATTTTTTCTGGCGTGCTGCGGCTTCATATTCCGTTACTTCACTTGAGAGTATTCTCTTGAGAATATTCCCTCAAGGATATTAGTAACTTTGAATCCTTAGATAGTTAGCAACTTGTGTATGTAACCCGTGGATTTTGCTGTCACCCAGAGAGCAGTGACTGGTTGTGGCTTTGTGCCCAGGATTCGTCTTTACAGCCATAAACTGATTTAGCCGTGCCAAGAGGAATTTTCCTATGGACTTATGGGGCTGTAAAGATAAGTTGTTTGACTGTGTAATTTTTTTTGTTACTATCTATTTACTGTTAACTCATCATATGCATATGATAAGGTGAATACCTTTGTGATAATTTAATTTTTGATATAATCTAATTCTAAAATATTGGGGAGAAGAAAATACATTACATGTTTTATTGAGTTTTTAAATAGGATATACAGAGTCTGACCAAACTCACTTTTTTTTTATATAATATTTTTGTTAATACAATACATTTGATATAATACAATTTGATATTGAGAGAGGGACATAAATTTAATGTGGTTTTTTTAAATATATATAATGACTATTGAGAACTCACTTTTGAGATAATATAATTGTAACAGAGTTATCATTGTTGATATCTGTACAATACGGTAATTATTTCTCATTTTAGTAGAACTATTTAAATCTAAATTACTAACCTTAGTGTTAAGACTTAGGCTACCATACGGACTATTCTTGGTGTTACTAATATTTTTAAACTTTATTTGGCCAGTGGTAGTGACTATTCGCTTGTTGAGGGGCTATTAAGTCCTATTGTATCTTTAAACCATCCACTACCACTGTTATTTAGTTTTTGCATTATATGTAAATTGTTAATACATATATATCGATATACACATTTCTATAAATATATTTATTGTTACTATTTTGAGTTTTATTTCAGTTCTACTAACCAGTATATAATATAGCAAAACAAGATTAGTATTTAGTATTTTGTATTTCAGGTTATTATCTCTGGTATCATTTGTTTCCTGTCCTTTGTTACTTCAAAATCTCAACTATCGTTGATTTGGCGCCCTTCTTTTTCTCTTCTTCTTGTTCTCTTTCTATAAATTTATTCCCAGTGACCTTCTTTAGTTGTATCACGTTTGATATTACCAGGTCTCATTTCGTTTCTTGTCTCATTAGCTCAGTATCCTTGCTATCTGTTTATATCTTTAAAGTCACAATCCAGTGCATTGAAGCTAGCCCGAACA